ACCAGAGGATGGTGGCCAGGAGGGCCGGTGATGTTTGGCGCGGGCTTGTGGGGTGAAACAAGGACTTTTTGCGGAATATACGGGTCAAGATGTATGGCGATGCGCACCGGAACAGAGATGTGCCCGGGTCTACAAGGAATATGTCGACAAGATCACATGCAAGTGATGGTGAGAAGACGGGAGTGAAATATGGCATCAACGGGTCCAGACATCGATACCGACATTCCGAAGCCCATGTATCATGGGGAATACCAAAACTTGGCTCTCCCTGTAGAGGCTTCGGGGTTGGGAGGGTGAAGTTCAGGATGGGACTGGAGGTTACTGAGGGGATGCTATGGCGGTGCTGGGCTGAATTCCGGCTGGCCTGGGTATCGTTTGGTGTGGCAGGTTGGGGGCAACCCGTCACTATACGTTCTAACCCATTAGGAGCAGATGGTTGCCGTTGTTGCCCTTGCCGGGCGCTTCCACGCGTGGGCTGGAGGTTGAGGCCTTCTAGTGAGAAGGTGTCTCCTGGGGGTGACCCAAGAGGGAGGGGAGTAATGGAAGTGGCTGCATGGCTATGGGTTTGCCTCTGAAGGGAGAGTCTCCTGTAGCTCTCTACCGGAGATATGTGATCTTCCTCTTGCTCTGTGGGGGATGGAAACTGGTTTTGGGAGGTCTGTGTGTCAGATGGCGGCGTATTGGTGATACTCTTGTCGGCTGCTGTTTCTGACACTCGATCCAACTTGTCACTCCTTTTTGCCCTGCCACGTTTTTTTATCTGCCTGTCGTAATGGCAGGAGTACCCATAGTCTGAAGCAGGATTGGTCAGTCAAGTCAACTAAAGTTACGCGAAATAGAGGGTGTCGGTTCAACAGAACAGATGCAGGAGGACAAGCAGTGATACGCTAACAGAACCAATCATGCCCCGTCCCTCTGCCAGGGGAAGACATATATGTGACTCTATGCACAACATACCTTGACATCTTGAACTAAAAGAAATATAAGGTTGGTCAGCAAGGGTAGGCAAGTACACTGGAAAGATGGAAAAGGATGATATAACACAGGATCACACGAATGTGGAACAGACGTTTCTCACCATGGATAAAGGCCGTCACATCTAGTTCGAGACGAGCTGCACTTATCACAAGCCATCCGCGTTCTCTTCCTCGCCCTAGCATGGGCAACATGGGCAACTTGGTCCTCGGTGCCCGAGATAGGAGGCCAGGGATGGCTCGCCTGCGGTGGGGACTGGGCCATGGTCATGAGCAGGCGGGCTTAACTGATACAATGAAGGCAACGGCAGTTCGCAGTTGGGCGATTTGTGGAGCTGGTCTGTGTCTCGGTTGATACCAACGATAATGCAAGGGGCAGAGGGGCTCGGTGATAGACCGACGGGCAGTATGTATGTTGTGTCTGACGATGCTGATGCCGCCTACGAGGTCAGCAAGCAAACTAACGAGCACACAAGTCTGATTTTGCCGTCGGGCTTTTGAAAAGGCCATGTAGATGGGGCTTAACTGAAGGATGGGATCGCGAGTGAATAAGTAGGATAAGTGGGCAGCTGGAAGACTCTGGCTGGGAGAATAATACCACCTATGACAGGCGGGGGAGCTCTCCCCAGGCGGAGAGGCCAGGCCCACCCGCCCCAGAAACAGCCCTGTTCCGCCCCTCAAAACCCCCGGAAGCCCCCTGAAGAAGCCCCGGACATGTCAATCAATGCTGGTTAGCAGACGGGATTTCGGGAGCCCAGAGCACTTGGCCCTACCACAAGTTCAACCACAGCGCACAGCACTGCTGCTCATCAGCCAGCCCATGGGGAAGCTTCAGACTCCAGCGTCGCATTCTGGTCCAGTTCGGCTGCCAAACGGACAATGCCGACCGGACTATGCAGCCCGTGATGTGTGATGACATGTGACTGGGCTGACTATTGGCTGGCCACGATGCCAGTGCTTCGTAGATGGGTGCTGCCGTGCCATGTCCATACCAACTTGCCGCCGTGGCTTGTCTTCCCGGCTCCTGTCATCTCGTATCCGTATGTGCCGTTCCTAGATAAAGACCATAGACCACCTTGATGGCCTCATATCGCACCCGGCACCATGGCATGCCGTGACATCTTTGTTGCATATACCGACCTACCTACCTACCTAGTGTAGCTAGCCATCAGATCACCAGCGAGGTCACCTGGTCAAAGAGGACTGTCCATCGCCCTCCCCGATCGGAGATTCTTGCAGCGAGCGGGATTTCTTGCCAACACCCCCCTCCCCTACGTCTGAGCAGAACACCCCCAGGGTTCAGTTCTCTCACGGAGAAAATAGCCAAATGCTTGACTCGTAGCTCACGTCGAACGATGGACTTGGCGATTCACTCTTAATTGCCAGTGTTTCCACTAACTATTAGTGCGCCCCCGCCGCTAACACTGACCTTATCCGCCGGCTATATGCCGATTTTAATGGATCTTGTGGGCAGCTTCAATCAACGCTCTTCATCCGTCGGGAATTTCTGCCCGCTGGCCCTCCAGTGTCACTGAAGAATATCACATTCCGCGACGGAACCAGAAGAGATGTTCGCAGGCTGGCAGGTCTCGTTGATCGGGTTAAATAGAATTCCAGCATGGCAGGGCGGATCGACCTCTCTGCTCTTCCCATGCCCAGTCATATGAAGCCCGCATCCCCAAACCGTTCCTCCAGACCCTCGTTGCACCGCCCTCAGCTAGAGCCCATCCATCGCACGCGCTCGCTACCCTCCATTCCATGTCCTCCGGCAGCCAGTGCACAATGGGGCTTTCCAGCAGCAGAGACACGGCCCAGCCCGCTGCACCGGCCTCGGAGCCCGTGGTTGTCCACAAGCCTGCCACAACCAGTCACCACGTCGCCGCCGAGACCCCCCAGCAGCAGGCGGCACCAGCCTACCCGCCCGTCTTAAAGGGAAAGGTGTACGCCATCACCGGCGGTGCGAGCGGCATCGGGTACGGCACCGCCCAGATGCTGTCCTCCAGGGGCGCCACGGTGTGCATCGCCGACATCGACCCCAAGGCCATGAGGGAGGCCGAGGACTACTTCACGCGGCGGGACGCACCCTTCATGATCTCGCGGGTCGACGTCTCAAGGAGGGCGCAGGTGGATGCCTGGATCGACTCGGTCGTCAAGGAGTACGGCCGCCTGGACGGCGCCGCCAACGTCGCGGGCGTCATTGGCAAGGTGCATGGGCTCACCGCCGTCGAGGACATGGAGGATGACGAGTGGGACAAGATCATAGCCGTCAATCTCACCGGCACCATGTACTGCATGCGCGCCGAGATTCGCAACCTCGTCAGGGGCGGGTCCATTGTCAATGTCAGCTCCATCCACGGCGTCAGGGGCTTCGCGCGGCACTCTGCCTACGATGCCAGTAAGCACGGCATCATCGGTCTCACAAAGGCCGCCGCCCAGGAGGTTGGCGATCGCGGCATCAGGGTCAATGCGGTCGGGCCTGGTTCCATCTACACGCCGCTGATGCAGAAGGAGTGGGATGAGAAGGGCCTGAAGGAAGGGCCCGAGGCCACCTCAAGTGCGATCCGGCGGTACGGGACTGTGGAGGAGACGGCGAGTGTTTTGGCGTTTCTTCTCGGCCCCGAGAGTTCTTTTATTTCAGGTTCAACATACATGGTCGACGGGGCATGGAGTTGAGTAGGTGGGTAAAGACAGGGATGGTTGGCAATGATCGCATCTAGATTCTTTGTATACACATATTCATAAACAGGTACAGAGCGAGTCATCGGTTTTCTTTCTTTTCTTTCCTTTTTTTCTTGTTCTGTTCTTTTCTTTTTCCTCCTTTTCTTGTCTCTCTCTTTGTCATTACTTATACTGGAAGATTTCGAATAGGCAGTATTACACTGACTGAATAATGATATGAATATATGTATCAAACTTAGGGTTATATACTTGGTGCAAGTTGATGGATGTAGAGCAGACACACATTCTTGCCCATACCAAATCAAGAGCCCAGGCTCACCGAGCCCATTTCCGGCCACTCATAAAGGTAACAAACCAGAACTCTAGCCATGGAACTCGGGCTTTTGGACGAGGGCCCCGGGACAATTCGGCCCAGTGAGCCGCCAAGACTTAATGGAGCTACGGATTCCGCTCATCAGGTTTCTGCTCCGTCACGTCTGGCTAGTGCCCATCCAATTAACCTGGCAAATGATCAAGTATGGCTGCAGCTGGGTAGGGCCCAGTCGGCCGAAACACTCGGCCAGCGTCCGATGTCCAGGGGAAATGGGGCAGGCATCACGACAGCCGAGCCACTCCTCAAGCGGCCTCCAAGATAATTTTATGCATCATATGCTTCGCATCTCTCTGCATGTGGCGAACAGGCCGGCGGCCAGGCAGCGCCATTGGCCGTGGACCTGTCACTGCAACCTTCCAACCTCGTCATATAATGCCAAGTTGTTCCCCAATAATGGCACGACGGCCAGTCAATCAAGCGTTCCCGTTTCCTGACCCCAGTGCATTAGGTTCATGCGGGGAAGACGACGTTCCCCTACCTACATGTACCTTGCCCTCACGTTTCGGTCCAAGGCGACCCGAGAACCACGTCAACACTTCACTTTATCCAGGGTTCGAGCCTTGGAACGAGTGCAAATCCGTCGGTAGCGAAGGCCCCTGGGTCCAATCAGAGGCCCAAAGAACTCGACCGTCTTTCCCTGCCGTCCCCACACTCCAGTTGGATGTCTTCTCCGCAATCCGATATCTGGGGATAGTCCTCCTGAGATGCTGTTCTGGGACTCACCACAACCGAATTGTGGGTAAAGAAGAGCATGTTCTGTCCCACAAGTTCGCCGCGATGTCACCATTGCTTTGCGTCTTGGAGAGAGCCTGTCGTCCCATCTTGCTAGGAGTGGGCTCTTTTTTTTCCCTTCTTATTTACTAGCATAGCTCCGAGGGCGGGCGCTCGAGCTCGACGCGAGTCCCTTTGGCAACCATGTTCTCCAATTCACACCAGCCAACATCCAGGTGACTTTCTCAACCACGTTTGCGACAATGAGTCTACAAGAGGAATTGGAAAAGGAGTACAGGGAGATTCAAAGGGCCATGGCCAGAAAAACACGGTCAATGGGAAGGCCGGACAACCCAAATGAACCTGATGATCACCCAATTAACCCGGCTCTGTGCGAGTCGCCCACAAGTCCTGGTCCCGGCTTGAGCAGTCCTTCAGGCTCCGTATCATCACGACGGACGAGAGACTCCAGCAGCGGGAAGTCTGGTTCGTCTCCCATGTCTTCGGCGTCAAGCTTGAACGAGCAATCCACATCCCCCGCGACAAGCATCACCAGCCTACCGTTCTCCTCGACTTGCCCCTCTCCATGCGTCGCCTTCGCCAGCCGGCGGTCTGTCGAGCTCATAAGATTTTTCTTCAACGACTATTCACCGCGTATCGTCTTCACTGGTCTTGCCAGCGATAATGACTGGAGGCAGCTTCTCCTCCCTCTGTCATTCACCAATGAAACCTTCAGGAATGCCATCTGCGCCTTCGTGAGTGCTCATTTAGAGGCCATGGATATCATCACAGGCAAAGGTTCCCTTGATTTCCACAGAGCTGCGCTCTTTGGCCTGTCATCACAGGTTCACAGCGACTTGTCAGATGCCACATGTTCCTTGGCCACTATTCTGCTCTTAATCAAGTATGAAGCGGTGAGTAGGCTCTCGATGTAGTGCCAATGACCACACTGAGCAGAGAAGGGACTTGTCCTAACCATCCGCTTTGCCTTAGCTCGTCGGGGAGGATGTTTCCAGCATCTTATCGCACCTCCACGCAGCAAACAACCTCCTTGGGCTCTTCCCAGACATAGAGGACCCAACCATGTCGTTTCTCAGGCGTGTAAGTGCCCTCGATCTTTGAGCCATCTCGCATAAGCCCTCTTCTGTAGCTGACCCCGAACCGAAGACCTTCCGATCCTACGATATCATGATCGCCCTTTCGCAGGGCTGCAGCGCAGTTGCCGACTCCCGACCAATGTCCCAACCCCCCTCCTCGCCTCTCCAGTCCCCCCATCCTCGTCCCGAAAGCCCCCCCGACATCATCGACCAAGTCTACGGCGTCTCAGCCGACCTCTGGTCCATCCTCCACCGGCTGTGCGACCTGCGCCCCCTGCTCGAAGAACTCGCCGCGGCCTCGTCCCCAGAGATGATGCAGGACGGCAACCACCTCAAAGCCGCCGTCCTCCGCGGCGAGCTCGAGTCGCTGTGCGCAGCCACGGAGAAGGCCCTGGCCGCATGGCAGCCCGCGCCCTTCTCCAACCGCGCCCTCCACCACCACGCCCTCGCCTACCGCGACAGCGCCCTCGTCCACCTCTACCGCGCCGTCTACCTCCTCCCGAGCAGCCACCCGGCCGTGCGGCAGCGGTGCCGCTCCTCGCTGGAGCACTGCGTCGCGGCGGCGGCGCACCCGGGGGCCAGGGCGCTCCTCTGGCCGCTGTTCGTGGCGGCGTGCAGCGCCGAGGGGGGCGGCGGCGACAGGTCGTTCGCGAGGTCGGCGTTCGAATTCATCGGGAAGAAGCAGGAGATGGCCAGCACGAAGCGCGCGTGGCTGGTCGTGACGAGGGCGTGGGCCATGATGGACGGCGGCGGCGGCGGCGGGCACAGCCCGAACCTGGCGCTGGATGTGTTTCCGATGACGAGGAATTTTGGGAATATGATGAGCAATGCTGTGATGCTATGGTAAAATCATGTATATATAGACTCGGTAAAAACAAAATGCGAAATGAACAACAAAAAAAACCAAAAAGGGATAGGAGAAAGGGGCACAGTCGGCACGTATTGATAATGATCATTAATATTTATTAATTATGTTTACCCCGCTCGTTTAAGTAGTTCTCCAGCATGTGACATAAGACAAGCAAATATACATGCATAGAATGCAAACTTTATAACACGAGCGTCCCAAATCGACCATCTACTTGTTCTCACACGTCCCAAGGTTTCCCCAAGCAGGTATGCAGAAAACTCGAAGATGGGGGAGCCTCCCATCACTCCCAGCTCCCATCGTCTAATTACTCCACCCCTCTCTACTGCTGGGCAGGAGCGGGGGCGGCGGTCCCATTCTCGGTGTCAAGCTGGGCCTGGCGGGCGACATTGATAGCCTTGAGCTTGGCGGTGCCCAGTCCGGCGAAACCAGTCTCCTGGTTGTCCCCCAGCCACGGCTTCTTGGACTCGCCGAGCATGCTTCCGGAGAGGAAGTAGATGATGAGGCCGATGATGATGCAGACGAAGGCGATGGGGTACATGAAGTGGACCGTGAGGCCGAAGACGTTGATGCCGATGATGACGCCCCAGAAGTTGCCGGTGAGCAGGGAGATGTTGTAGAAGCTGGCGCTGGCCATGCGCAGGATGAAGGGGACGGTCGAGTAGAAGATGAACAGGCACAGCGTGTAGCCGACCAGCCATCCCGCCACGTTACCGTCCCAGGTTGCGCCCTGGAAGGCCTCCCGGTCGAAGATGGCGGCCTGGACCCCGTTGATGATGACGCCGAGGAGGCCGATGAAGGACAGGACGTGGTACATGGGCGCCTTGGAGACGAGCCACTCCTCGAACACGTTGCTCAGACCGTAGCAGGTGGCGCCGACCAGGGCGAACATATCACCCTTGACCATGTCGGTGGCCTGGCCGGCGCCGCCGCCGGAGATTTGGTCAGAGGCGACCAGAATGCCCATGCCTCCCATGCAGACGAGGATACCGACGATCTGGAAGATGCGGTAGCGGACCTTGAGCACGAAGAAGGAGATGATGACGACGCAGACGATGGCCCAGAAGTTGATCAGCTGGGCGGACAGGATGTTGGTGTATCGGTAGGCGAGGACGGTGAAGTAGTTGCCCTCGACGTCGAGGAAGGACATGATCAGGTACTTCCAGCCGTGGCGCCAGGCGACGCGGCCCCATTCCTTCGGACCCTCCTTGTAGAGGAAGATGCCGGTGTAGACGAGGAACAGCAGGACATAGTTGAACATGGTCTGGAAGGCAGGAATGTTGGTGTTGACGCCGGCGAGCAGACTGGTGAAGGTATTGGTGGAGGTGATGCAGAGAGCAAGGACCTGACCAATACCCAGGACGAGCCAGAAGTCGGGCGTGGTGAGGTACGAGTACCAGTGGACAGACTTGGACTCGAGGATGTGAATACCCTGACCGACGGCGGCATTCTCAGCCTCCTGGTGGACAGGAGTATTCCCCTCAGCCTGGGCGGTGCTCTCGCTGGTCACAATGGGCGACTTGGTATCATCTTCAATCTTGGGGGTCTCGGCGGTGACCGAATTCTTAATTGGTTCTGATGCCATGGTTTCGGTTTCTCTGTTATTAATCGTTGAACGTAAGGGTATCGAATGTATGTATGCGCGATAGCTTCTGTTGTCGGCGCACCAAGCCGTCAGCCAATGGACTCACCCGCGCATGCCATGAGGCAGTCAACACAGCAGGAACATACCTCAATCTCAATCGCTATCAACGGCTAAATAAGGTTTCAAGCGCGCGGGTGCAGCAGCAGCGTCGCGGGCAAATGAAACTAAATGCGATGTAAGGTAGTTGTAGATGGTTATCCAAAGCCAGCTCCGTTGTCGAGCTCGTTGGTCCAGTTAGTTAGTAGATCCAGGTCTGCTAAGTCTTTCTTCTTCCCCAAAAAGACAGCAAGCGCAAAGACTTCAAGTCGCTTGCTGGTGTTCCTATTGTCTTGTCAAGAACATGCGTCTGCGCCAATGGAGCGCAGAAGTGGTGGTGGAGGTGATCGGCCGGGAACTGAACATGTGCGAACAGGAGGGGTATGCGCCAGAAGTGGCGATGAGAGGCGGGGGGCGTGCAGCAGCAACAGCGCAGAAGCGAGAAATGTAACGATTCTGGCAGGGTCGCAGAGGAGCAAGGAACAGCGGGGGAGAGAGACGAGGAGCGCCCTTTTTCAACTCGTCGCAGAGCTGGTCAGATGCGGAGGGATGTTTGCGACTCGAAGGTGGCCAAGAGCAACGGGGATTGAAAAAAAGCAAAACGAAAAAATTATCGATTGTAGTCTGATCGATCCGTGCAATCAGACGAGAGCAAACAGCGGTGGCGACCACTAATCGAGCCACTGAGCGACCCACTGGCGCGGACCCCTACCAGCGCGCTTTCTGCGCTACAGCACACCCTGTTCAGTGGGGGCAGCAGTGGCCGGGTGGGCACTAACCACTGCTGAGGGAGTCTTTGCCGCCGCGGTGATTGGCGAGCGGCGCGGAGGAGGCCCGCACCGAGAAAAGATCGTCAATCATCTGGGCACATCAACAGCCAAGTTCCCTGCGCAGAGCTGTCTGCTAACCAGAAGGAGCCAGCTGAGGAACAGTTGGGTCAGCCTGCTTGCTGTGCTTGCCTGCAGAGCGTTGATTTGGGGAATGTAATGCGGGCAGCCCGTTCACCCACGTTTTTATCCCGAGGGCTTGACCAACCAGGGGAGAGAACACGCCAATATCTGGATCGTTAGTCAAGTATTGTGTCTAATCAAATGGGTGGTGGATCATGTGCAAATTCTTCGGTCAAGATAAAACATTATTCATGATTCATCGGGTAGGTAGTCGGCTTCGCTGTCTAAAACGGCACTAGCTCCCGATTCCTGTATCCACATCTGGGTTATCTGTTTCACAACCCCATGGGCAAGCATCACCTTCCAGTTCTCTCAAGAGGCTCATGGATGTATTAGCATTTCTTCCCTCTAAAGTCCTCCATCTCTACCAAGGATAGGCTGGGCTTGAGCCAACATTCATCCAGTACAATTGAAATTGGGTAGCTTATTCGTTTGAATATGACAACGAGCGCCTGAACTTTCTTGAACCTGGCCCGAGCAGATTGCCAGACGACGAAAATCAGATATGATACTACCATCGATTTTCCAGCCTATTTGCAGACTATCTACGGAACCTACGAAAGAAAACTGCTGTGTCTTGTCTGTGTGGGGGTTAGGCGGCAGATGTGTGTAGATAGATCATAGTTGACATCGGGCGCTTTTTTATAACATAGCCATGCTGTAGCAACTAGCTAGTGTCCATCGCTCTATTTTGTCTAACTTATATGATTATAGAATAAATCTAAGTGGAATCTACTTTGGAGAAACTCATTTGCCAAAAACATACATGATACCAAGCTGGGTCTGAATTAGGACTAGTTGTCAAACAAGACTCAAGAGACATAACGACTTTATCCAATCAATAATCCTACGACAGCTCATTGGACCTATAAGTTTTAAGGTTTTCCTGCCCGCTGTTCTGGAAAACTTTGATAGGAGATATACAACCATAGTAGATAGGCACTTAGCCATGAGACATTTTACTCCTAAACATTAGTATAGAATATTATCCGTTTAAGATTGAAGGGTTCCTTATAACGTTACAAATACTTGGAACAGCGGCATGGTATTGAGGGATTTTCATAATTTGTATTTAGGTACCTAGCAATGCAATTACACGTGCAGCACACAGGTAAACAGCTCGTGCTTAAGTAGCCTAACGCACCTCTAGATTGCATGAACTGTGTGTCTGATGCCCCGCGTGGGCACCTTCTATCTACGTCATTATTGTGCCCGGCCGAGTTCCTGTTTCTTAAATAGCAGCACATCTAACAAGTAACATTATAGACTTGGTTACCACAACTTTATTTTCCCCACTCGACTTATAAGTTAATTGCAGTCTTTTCGTGTTTTCCTGCTGAATGAATAAAGAACATAGTTCTCCTTACGGTATGATTTCTTTTATTGTTCAAAAATATTACCCTACACTGACCAGAAAACGATAAGAAGTGTCGATTTCTAGGTGCAAAGTAGTAGAAAAATAGTGAAATGGCGCCATCTCCAAAAGTTGGCGTGTGTAATGGTTAAAGAATTCAGCCTCGCGGGATCTTCACTCAAAAGTTTCAGAAAAGAACATAGCAACTAGTTTAGTCAAAAGATACGGCTATTGAAGGATATAGCGTTGCAGCCCGTTTACTAAAATATTAGACTTCGGCTTTCAGAGCAGGCAGATTTTATCCCATACATATGTGAAGATTTTATAAATGGGAGATTTCTATACTACCTCTACCCTGTAAGCTGCCCGGTTATAATTAGATAACTCGGCTTCGAGACCATCGAGAAGTTTCTTTCGTCTTAACACAGGCATAACACAAACCGGGAAAATCGTCAAAAATTTTCAATATTTCTAGTTCTCTTCAAGCATGCCGTAATATTTGCGAGGTTTTGGGCTTCCAGAAGCTGTGGGCGGTTGCGAAATATAATACAATCTCATACTTGGATCATTCACAGTTTGGTCCTAGAGTCCGGGCTAAACCGGCATATGCAGCACCCTTAAAGCCGTTCGTCTATTATTTTCTTGGTATCTGTTTAAAAAACTCATATGGAAAGAACTCGTCATTTCCAAGTAGGTTGAAACCTGAACTTATCGCCACAAGAATCAGTCTTCGTTTCAACAGGAGACCCAACAGGTCACAGGAACCATCAGCGGAAACAAAAGGGAATTTGCTTAATAAGGGGCGATTTAATTATCCTGGTATTGCTTATCTTCATCACCGAGATGCCAAAATCGTCGCCAAAAGGGCGCACAAATATCGACTATGCTGAGGCAGTCTTACACGGCTCATCCCTCCGGTCGTTCCGGTCAGAGTTTATTATCTTAATCAAAGTCCACTCATTCTGAGTCACATTGCAACCTTATACACAGCTATCGTCCGAACTGGGCACTCTACACCAAGAGCATCCAATAAATTGGTTGTGATCATCACTTAATGCCACCCCCTTAAGGCTCCGTGCCGCTCAACTATCGCAAGCAGAACATATACGAGTCAAATACGTGTGCCGACATCCCTCGCGATAAGTGGCAACGTGATATCATCACGTCAAATACTTTCTGTCGCATAAGCTTCCACATGAGGAATCATCTCCCTCTTACAAATCAGCAACGCACACAGTATGGATCCAGAACCGTTAGGCTAAGCGAGCCCGATCACCCATACGAGAAGCTTAGCCAAGAAGCCAATATCCGCCTCACCTCCAACTTAGAAATAATGGAGTGATTGGCGTAGATTTATCAAAACGGCCCCCAACTCCTAATCTCTCTCCAGACCAGACCACCTTTAGACTCAAAGTCCGCCATGCGGTGTCAGCTTCAGGTCCCGACGGCACGTAAGAAGATCTTTCTCTCCGCCGGCCAGGAGACCCCTCCCCCTGAAATGAGATGCATAGGCTCAAGGCATACTCAGGGGGATGACCAAGCAGTTTATCTGCCGGCCAAGGACGGTTCAAGGTGGCGAAAATTAGGGGTAGCCAGCCCGTTGAGAGAACCGCATTGCCTAGCGCGCCAACTTGCCGACCCGTTTACAGCTATCACCGAAGCCGTCCCTCTCATCCGAGATTATGTACAGGCCAACTACAATTTGATCCTTCAGCCCTAGAGCTCTCAGCTGGAGGTCGGGGGTGCGTGTAAGGCTTGTATGCTGATAAATCCAAGGGGCAGGATACGGCATCTGATTCGATACCGCCCTAAAAAGTGTTTTAAATAGCCGCCAGTAATATAACAGGGACGGCAAGGTACTGTTCTCAATACGGGATTGGAAGTCACGCATCTCCGCCTCATTGATCCTATTAGGCTTTCTCTTATCCACGAGACCCGGCAAGCACCAGCTGACCGAGCGCGAGAAAAAAGCAAACTGAGAAGGGGAAAAAAAAGGGGGGGGACTAAAATTAGAGGAGCCAACGAGTAAGAAATTCCATGAGAACCCGATCGGCAATTACAAAGGTTGCGTAGACCGAGGCTTAGTTCCCTTGGGAGAAGTACCCAGCCGCGTTACTCGTATTTCGTAAACTCGAGAGCGTCTATCTAGGCGGATAACCGCGGACACCCATCACAACTTTACTTTCGGCCAAGACAAAAAACGGGGTAGGGCTAGAATCTGCCGTCAGCAGGAATTAAATTCATGGGCGGCTCCGGGTGTAACCTTGGGCCCTGGGAATGCTTCTTTGACTTCACGATACAAGACAAGGGTTCGGTGTTGTCCAACCAATAAGCTCATTATTCATCATGCTAAAGGTAACGACGCAGGAAGACAGTATCAAAACCCCTATAGCTTGCCAAAAAATGAAAGAATGGCCTCAGGAAAAAAACATGTATCCCATAATAACATAACTAATCCCAATTGAGTAGAGAACCAGAAAGCAAAAAAAGAAAGGAATGAAGAAAGAAATAGTAAATGAGTGACAGTGAGTGGAGAAACAACAAAAACTCAAAAACAAAGGAGAAAAAAGAATTCGAATAAGGAATGACAAGACTTGATGAAAAGTCAATATTACAATCCGCAGGTACGAGAGTGTACCAGATAATAAAAAAGCTGTCCTACATAAAGGAAAGGAGCCAGCACATCGTGAGAGGATGGCTTCATACCACTGCTGAGGTCTTTAATTCTTGTAATCGATCCATGAAATCCTGTATAGTCTTGTATCTGGAAAGCGTCGAGCGTTCGTCTATGTGTAGCGTATACCCCGCCGATGGCGGTGTAGTGTTGTCGAAACTGTCAAGGAAAGGGGCATCTCAGAAGCCCCCCAAGGGACTCCCCAACCATGCTGGTTATAGAAAACCGATTTCGTCTTCTTAGAGACCAGACATGGCCGTGCGGATAGTCTTCACAATGGCGACGTTCCTCTGAGTGCCATCGGTGGGCGTACCAGAGCTTTCTATACACCGAGTTAGTCTGAAGGTTAGAAAACGATAAAACAGATATATTATCTGCTGCAGAGGGAGCGAGGAAATAATCACTACTTACGGTAGGAAGAAGACGGTGTTGGTGTTTCGCGGTGGTCTGGAAGGGAAGAAAATTCCTGGGCGAGACGCTGGAGGTATTCCTGGTCTGCCTTGCTGGAGGCGGCGTCTGAGGCGAGTGTCAGTGGAGATCTACGGGAGGGAAAGAAAAGAAAACAAGAATATCATACCAGACTTGGACTGAGGCATTGTCAGGGAAGCCTTTTTCAGAGGGTTCCGCAGTATATCAGCAAGTGGCTGCTGATGGTGGTGATGATGTGGGAGCTAGGCAGAGAAGCCACTGCAAGAGCAAGACTAGTGTATGGGGAGATCTGGTTTTTTTTGTGTCTTCCCGATTGGCGGGTTTTGAAGCGGACTCAGCCCTAGGTTCGAGAGGGGGGGAAGTAGAATCTGTTCTGCTTGGGATTGATTGGTTAGAGTTGTGTTTTGCTTGAGGGTGAAGGACAAAGATAAGTTTTCTGATTTTCAGCTGGCTCTCAAGACCTTTATATCCTTCTTCTCGATGATAACCAACGTTACAGCCTAGAGAATACCGAGCAAAGAGAGCTGAAGCACGCTTCAATTGCCAGGGTGTACGAGTATGAACAACCAAGGCTGGGTAGTCATGCCCATCTGTCTATCCAGACCCCAGGGCCATATCAGTCGAAGAGAGCGAAAACAGCCCAAAGGAAGAAGCAAGGGTGAGATCGAAACGAATTAGGCAATGAAGGAGATCAAGAGTCACGGCAGCCGTTCATCAAGTAAGCCCGGATGACTCCAGCATGCCCGCCCGGGAGAGGGACCACCCCGAACCCCGGCACACCAGGGCTGGATCTCCCCTCATGGCTGGCAGGCTAGCAGCTGGCAGCTGGAACCTGGGCTGCTTGTCTCCTTGCGCGCTCCAGAGTGCGCGTGTGCTGGCGCCCTTCCTGACGGCGGTCTTGGCCTGTGGAGCGGAGGCGGCTCGCGTGCGTCGTATTTCGTACCGCAAATCCGCAACGCCACCACTTGGGAGCCAAATCAGCCTTATGGGGTTAAGAGCAGTGCAGAGCACAAGATCATTGGCTTCCGGCACATGCACAGGCGGATACGGGCAGGAAAAAACCCGCATAGGCGACAAATGCGAAGACGGCGGGAGGCAGCCTGGGAGGGTCGTGAAGCGCTAGCGGTGTCTCATCTACACGGTGCCGTTATGAAGAGGACTCGCAGTCCCATCCAGAAGCGCATCGGCGCTTGTCTTAGGCGGGCTAGGCGATGGCCCAAGCTGTCGGCGGTCTGGTGCCTCTGTCCGGCATTGCTTGCTGCGACTGCTGTGCTGATCGAACTGGTTGCCCTGTTTGGGGTAGTTCGCGCCAACCTATCATCTCCTCAGAGCTCTGCATAGTGCCTGCGGCGGAGGAATTCTCCACATGGACTCGAGAGGAAACGATGGTCGAGACGAGACGAGACGGGCGAGTGGGGGTGTGTGTATGGGTTAATGAGTGCGAGCGGTCTCATGAGACTTCTCCATACGTACACCTATCCGGTGTGGTGAGCGAGAATGAGGCAGCAAATCAAACGGCTGGCAATCAATGGCCGTAATCAGGCAAGCAGGTTGCCAGCTGAAGGCTGAGGAAGGCTCCAATCGGCGACGGCAGTCGAGTTATCTGGCAATATTGAAGGGATATTGCGCAGGCGGCAGTTTATTGGATGCTATGATGCCTGCTAATGCTACCTGCTAATGCTACCTGTTGCTGCTGTCTAACCGGGCAATTAAGGTCACCAAGGCCACTGAGCTACAGCCGCTATGCACTACAACCCGCTACCTGAATGCAGCAGCCAAGACCTCAATCCCACGGCGAGATTGATTGCCGGTCACCAGGAGCCCGTTACCGAGATCGTTCCCTGTCCTGTCAGTGGATGTGATTCGTTACTTATTTATTCTTAGATCGATCGGCCGCCGGCTGAGCCAGCCCAGCCCAGCTCAGTCCAGCTCAGTCACGAGCGCATCAATATTCACCACCCGAGGTGCATATTCGCTACGACTGCCTACCAAAAACACATCACCGCGAATGCCTGCCAGGAACCCATCAAGCAAACCCCGAGCAGCTGAGGAGCATCTTCACCGTCACTAGCGCCAGGTCGCAGGCATCGCCAGTCAGTCAGCCGCCCGGCTGCGTCTACGTCTGCAGTCTGCGTCTGCATCTGCATCTCCGTCCCCCGTCTCCGTCCCCCGGCTGATTCACACCGGCCGATGGGACCCCCCCCCCCCTCGCCCAACGCATGCACGCCATGGATGCAGCTAACACCATCCTACCCCAGCCCGACAGTCAGAGTCTTGCGGCACTGCGAAGCAAGTCTGTCTGAGCTGAAAACCAACAAGGCAGACTGCATCGAAATTCCGTCTCGCGGCCCCCACCTCATGCACGCTCGTTCCCACTCACCCACACACACACACACACCCATCCCATCTGCCACGTTTAATGCCAGGCACCACCACCACCTTCCCCTCCTCGCCACGGCCTACCACCGACCAGCATCCCGGCTCCGCGCCCTTTGAATTCCGTTCACCTGCTCTGCCTTGCGCCTGGTAACAATGTGTGGTCTGTATTATGCTTGCTTCGACCTCATCCGGGCCAAGATGCACTAACTGGCTAGTTCCAATCCAACCAACCAAAACGCCCAGAAAACTCCCCCCCTGTTTTTCCCACCGTGTAATATAACGTACCATTGGAGGAAAAAAAAGAAAAGAGAAGAGAGAGAGAGGAGAAAACAAGAAAGCCAGGGTTCCCCAATAATACATGATGCTCCCAATCGCCTATATGATCGCGTGATAATGCCATGCAAGGAACAGAATGCGCATCAAAGAGGGGTATGTCTTGTAGCTCCAATACATCCAGCCGATCCCAACTCGAAATAACATCATAATCATCCCACCCGCGTTAGTACAAGCCCTCCACCAAACTCCTTGTCCACAGTGTTCAGTTCACTCCTTCCCCGAACCGGAATGCCCCCCGTCATAATGCATATTGGCAGGCAGACAGACGGAGACGAGTCATATTCGGGGCTCAAAGACGCCATGCAATAGTCAGGCAGTCAAGTAATTCCTTGCCCAAAGGAGAAGAAGAGGAGGAAGAAGCAAGAATTATTTCCCATTAGCAGGATCCTGCACTGCACGCTCCCCTGTCAGGAGATGCTTATCCTCTCTGAAGGCAAGGCTCTTCTCCTCCAGCCCTTCAAACAGGCTCTTGTCTCCGAACCGGAACTTCTCCCTAAGTCCCTCCTCGGGCGCAAGTTGTGCAGGTCGAGGGTCCTTGGCCGGATCATCATCAGGCCACAGAATCCGGCGGGCCTCCTCGTCAGTCAGGGGCGGCTCGTCGACGTCTTCAGTCAGGACGACGTGCGAGGCAGACTTGGGAGATGATGGTATCGTCGGAGCAGGTGATGCCTGCCGGGGCGTGGTGGCGAGGGAGGACTCGAGCGTTAGCGTGCCCGTGGGGTTACCGTCATCAAAAGATGAAGGGGGTGAATCGGACGGAGGCGCCGTATAGGAGGGCTCTCCTTGTCTGCCTCGAAGATGTCTCTCTTCGGGAGGGTATCCCGCCGTGCGAGAGCGTGCCTGCCTCAGTCGAGCCTCCCGCCACAGAGACTCTGATATCGACGGTGCGGGGGTGCCGTTAATGCTCTCCCCGTCATCAAACTCCAAGTCATCGTCGTCATCCGTTCGTATCGTCATCGCATCCAGCGCATCAGCCTGGCTGTCTTCTCTCATCATCTCATCCGATATCTCCTTTGGGACTTTCTCCTCAGCATTGCTGATGCTCTTTGGCACGACCGGCTTCAGAGGTAGAGCCCCTGCTCTGATCCGGCCGGCTCGTAATATGTTCCGCATCAGGTACAACTCATGCGTCTTGTATGTCTCATAGAATACGCGATTCACCATGGCTGCAGAGTGAAGGTCATCCAGGTCATCGATATCACTCAGGATCTTCAGCCGCACGTTCTCCGGGAACTCATTTGCAACGGCGTGCGCAGCCTGGTCGGTGCCTGCCATTCGACCAAGACCCCATTTGTAGACCTCCTGCGGTTCTGTCTCCCGATGTCTGGAGAGCGCCCACCCGTGACTCTTGCCACTGACATCATGCAGCGTCAACCCCGAGACGCTATTGAATATGTCATTGATGGCCGCTCTAAAGGTTGTGCAAGGGTCGCAGACGCCGCCCTGGTGGATCGGCGACACGGGGCTGGGCACCCGCCTCAAGCCCTCCATCATCTGCGCCAAGCTCTTTGGTGCCTGTTGATCTTGCTCGGTGAGGTGAGAGAGCGCATTCGGGCGTAAGATTTGAGGTAATATGTTCATCTCGTTGTAGACCAGCATCAGCCAACCCAGATTGGAGGCATCGCACCAGTGGCTGCCCTTGGGGCACCGGGGTGTCGAGCTGAGGGTGGACAGCGGCTTCTTCTCCTGCGTCGTCTGATACTGGTTGTTGCGCAAATCAGAAGGGGTAATTGGATGCACATCATCGACCGGGTTTCGCGAAGGCTGCCTGATATACTCCTGTATGGTGCCGGTGCAACAGGCATACACCTGAGCAATCTTGGCGCTTCTAACCGCCCAGATCTTCTCCCTGATTCGCTGAGGCCACGGCTTACTCTGCAAATCAGCCTCGTCAACCAGGTTCAGTATCGCACTCTTGGACATTCTAGTGAATATTTGCCGTAAGCCAAAAGCGTAGCTGATTATCAGCATGCCGTCGGGCATGTCATCCGCACCCCTGTGCATCCACTGAGGTAACCATCGGTGCTCGACAACCATCTCGAGCGGAGAAGTGCATTTGTACTTGACGCAGCACTCGGCGATGACAACAAACTGCTCAAAGTCAACGTCGCGAGGTACCTTGTCGTTATGCATGTGTGCGGCGTGCAGCAGAATCTCGAGGCTGGATAGCTGGTTGGTTTCCAGCTGAGGCATTCGATATAACCTCGCCTCGGAGCCATCCTTGCAGATGTATTTGGTACTTGGGGGCGGGAGATGAGGGTGAAGCTCATCATCGTCGTATGTCGGGTAGTTGGTGGGATTACCGGAGAAGATGTAAGCAAAGATGGGCGACGTCTCAGCCAGCATATGGGAAGACACCCGGAAGCGAAGCACAGGCTCACTGTCCACGGCCTCGGGGTGAAGATTGGCAAATTCGAGCACCGCATCGCCCTTGGGCGATATCACCACCTCCTCAATCTTCCGCTCTGGCGATATTCCCGACTCGCCAGATTGTAGAAGCCCGCGGATTTCTACTAGTTCTTGTCTAACCTTTTCGTAATTGCGAAACCTTATCTCGTAACGGGGGAACTGGTCAACGGATTAGCCTGAGACTGGAACATTGGTCCCTTTTGGATGAAGTCAAACGTACAAACTGAGGGTCCTGTGACATCACCCTCGTTACGCTGGCATTGCGCATACGGTGGACAGCCTCCCTGCGGAACCTCTTATTCGTGAACATGGCCTCCACCATGTCGGGCGTCGACTCGTGCTCGTGCTTGCGGTATGTTTCCTCCAGGCTCGTCCGCAGCGCATCCGCTAACGTGTCCAGGTATCCTTTCCACTCGCGGACCGCATTGAGCCAGGCATCGTTGACGTGAGCGCCGCGGCCCACACTACCGGACACAATCTCTGTAAGACTGCGCCCGCTGAAAGAGCTCCTCTGATCGTACAACGCGGCATTCGGAGATTCAAGCGAAGAGTCGCGGCGTGGTAGTGTGTCATGAACGACAGATGGCGGGTTCCGGGACCTGAACTCGTCTTGAACAATAGCGAGGCACAGAGCAGCCGCTCGTTCCTTGTGTTTGCTATAGATCTCGTACGCACTGTCGACGTCTTTCGGGCCCGTTGGGGCAATTCGCATGCGCTGGACAATATCTCGTAGCTGGCGGTAGTTGTCGGAGCCCTCGTGGACAAAGGACGAATGGCCGTCGGAGCCTTTCAAGCCCAGTGAATCGTGTGAGTCGATGTCGGATGCGCGCTGTGAAACAAACCCAAATCAGTCGCCTGTCTCGCCCTATTAAAAAGCGAGGGAACCTACACTGCTGCTCCAGCTCTTGTCCTCCTTCATCCGCATGCTCGGGATCTTCTTCAACATCGGCAGCCGCCATTTCTTAGAGGAACTGCCGGAAAAGCTAGCCGTAGCGGCGCTTTCGCTTGTCTGCCGTGACATCTCACGCATAACCTGCGCCGTGACGGATAGCACGGGGGCGGCTGCGTGGGAGGGGTCGGGTTTCTTTCGCTGCTGGTGGCAAGGACCAACGATGGAGGGGTTACGAGACCATGAATCGAGGCAGGCGAACCAATAGCTCTCGGTCGAGTATGAATGTCAGGTAGTTCCGAGTTTCTACTTGCCCGCCACGTCCTACAACTAAAGCCGGAGGTTCCGCTCTATGCGATGCATCGACTGCAGAGAGATGCTGTTGTGGCCTGTGGTCTAGAATGCATCAGAGCTAACCAGAGTGTGCAGCACCATAACCACGGCAGCCTATCTATAGATGTATGGAAGGTACTCCGCTATGCCTTTCTATCTTCGTCTCGATCAAAAATGGTCTCGGGTACGGGCCTGGGTTCGATTCTAGCCGGCGAGGCGAATCCCGAGGAAGGGGGCAGGTCGAATCGTATGTCTTCGACTCACGTGCGCACCGTCGAAGAGCTGCGGCTCGGGGCAGGGAAAGCACAGCTTGTGCAGTCGCAGAAAAGAGTATGTGGTCGGGTCAGGCGTCTCGAGACCCGTGGGCTCCGTTGATCGTGGTGGTATGTGCTCGTAAGGATTGTCGTCGTCGTCGTCGTCAGCCGGAGCAGCGGGCCAAGGAAGTCGAAATCCAAGTACGGTTTGCTCCGGGTCCTCGCGCCACCAAGGTCCGGCAAAACTCCTTGTCGCCTCCAATTTCAAGTACGTAAATACGCGATGCAGAGTGCGTCGCACCGTCTCGTCAGCTCGGCAAACCAGCCAGGCAAAACAAAACGATGGATGGAAGGCATCAAGGTGGGAGAGGGAGCAGAACAGAAAAAGAATCCGGGCTAATAGACGGTTGCAGAATGCGGTGCTGTTGGACCGTTTGCTCCCCTCCCACTACAACGTTCGACGGCCTCGGTCATGTACCTGTGGCTGGGGAAATGTTGCGGCAATAGCAAAAGTACTTTGGCCCCCATAACGCCCACACGCAGCTCCAGGTACCCTGCACTACTGCACTAAAAACCCGTCTGACCTGGCAGCTGTCACGGCTGCCTAGAAGTCTGGGGGCGGGCCAAGCCCCAGAAATTAAGGCCTGCTTTCTCCGTATTGTGAGCCTTCCCTCCCTAAAACCCCCCTTCTTGTGCCCCCAAATGTGGCCCAGGCCAATGGAAGCCAGCCCGCTTCTTCATCTCCCCCAGAAATCTGGTTAGCCATGTGCGAAGCCCCCTAGTCACCCTGGAGTTGAAGTACACCTTGCGATTCGCCCAGCCTGGTGCAACCTACACCTTTCTCAACGATCTGCGAACCTAATGATAACTAGGTAGGCAGGTAGAAACTAAACCATCCTTAAGCGTGTCTCGTATCTATATATATATAGTGCTGCCTGGCGATCAAATCATCAATTTAGTCTCTGTGAACTATTTATATCTGGAAACCATCTGCCGCATTGGCCTTCGTGTTCCATCTGATTTCCGATTTCGGCATGCACCACGTCCATCCAAGACACGCCAGCAAATCAGTACCTGTTGCTCGCAAATGCAATACCCGACTCAATATGGCCAACGGTGCATGGCCTAAAGAATTGATAACCCCTCTTGAGAAGGGCCCCTTCTATGTGTCCTCTTCTCCAAAGTGAACATTTCTTACAATCAATGTGGTCGTATAGGGTAGGCGCGGCGATGGGGACTTCGAATAGATCACGGCCTCAAGAATGTTCATCATTACTGTTCATTATATGCTCTGTTATACCAAAATTACTACACTTGTGTATTTACGTTCATTTATTGACTCGCTATGTTACTTGGCCTGATTCTCTTAATGGCATCCATCCTTCTCTATACTGATTTGATTTCCTGACCTCTGATCCTTGGGGACGGGCCAGGGGAAAACTTGAGAAAATACCTTGAAACAAAAGGGACGCCCACTCCTAACAGATGTTCAATGCAAACGCCTTTCCAGTACCGTCCATGTATCGATTCCTGGTCTCTTCAAATTCTTACCAGCCTTTTATCTTGCCATCCTTGCATACATCCACGCAGCGGCCCCCTATTCCTGGCAAGACCTCTTACCAGCTGTGTCGGGGCAGTTTGGGGCTGCAAAATCGTACAGTTTCTTGACACCATTCATCCTTTCCCGTTCTATCGATTCCCACAAGATTTCCAAGGGCGAAACTCAAGTTGCACGCCTCTAATTTTCGTCAACGTGTTGAAAAATTGCAGCTTTGTGTTGGTGTTCCATAGCCATTCTTTGTCACGACTTGCGTCTATCCAAGATAACACCAACCAAAGTCTCAAACTTCTGATTTTTTTTCTGGATGCCTGTCCAATCATTGCAGCTGATGATCCTCCTGAAAATATTCGGGACTCTTAGCCGCCTTTCCGCTCTGAAGCTCGTTTGGGAGGCAGCTCTGCATTGGCCGGTTGAGGCTCAGCTGCAGTCTTCTTCTTTCCCTTGCCGGCTCGTTGCCACCCGCCATCGCTTTCGCTCCGAGCACCCCGGACGTGCCCATTCTGTCTAGGGCCATTAGCTGAGCCGCCTTGTTTCTGATTTTTTGTTGGCTTGGAGCTCTCCTGTGATTCTTGTGTTTGATCATTTGCGCGCGAGGTTTGCTTTGCCATAGTCGTCCACGAAGGCTTCTTGTTCTCAGCTTGCCCATTGTTACTCTTTTCATCTAGTCCAGGAAAATCCATTGCCGTCCTGGAGACGACAGGCGACGGTGTCTGAGCCTCATACACAGGTGACAGCAGGGATATTTCCGCGGCAGTTGCATGATGATTTTGATACACCTGATCGCTGGACATTGCTAGATCGAGCGGGGCGATTGCGTTGTGTTGATTCTCAGCGATGAACTGTTGCCGCATCAACGGATCGCCGTTGAGAAATGGCATGTCCTGTGCAATACCCTGAGGATTCATGTACTGAGAGCTCATCATGGCGATTCGTTCTCGGAAAGAGGTATCATCGGCTGCTGGCTGATGGTGGGTAGTGCTATTCGACCCATTGACCACCACTGGCGGCCGATTGACGGCAGGATGCGGTTGAGATGCCGGCAAATGCCCTAGGTTCTGGCTTTTAGGTGCTTGGTAATTTGCCTGGGCACTTTCGAGGCTTGTATCGCTGGCGCGTTCTGAGGCAGGCGATGCCGAGCTGGTTGGGCGTGGCCCAGCACTGACGCTTGTGCGAAGGTTTGATCCATTTACCACCAGCGGCCGTGACGAGTTTCGCGGTTGGCTTCCTCCTGTGCCCTGGGAAAGCGGTGACGAGTTGCCTTCCGCGGATAACCGACGGGCATGACCGGCATTTGCTCCAAGTGGCGATGGCGACCTGGATGTTCTTCTCATCCTCCTGTCAAGAATTGTCTGTGGGAGCTGATCAGTAGTGAGACGTCTTCTCCCTGGGCTTCGTGTAGCTTGACTGGCAATGTCCCCAAACGCGATGCCGTTGCTCACCCCCGGAGACGGCAACCCTGCTTTCTGCTGTGCTGCGCCATCAAAGCCCTCGCTGGGTTGAGACGACAGAGACGATGAAGTCCTCGCGGCGGCATCAAATTCTTCCTCGGTCGGCGTAAAGGTCATGCCGTTGCTGTTTCCTTGGCTGGGGTTAGAAACGTTCGTTGTAGACTGGCTCGCTGGGATTGGTATCTGCCCGGTAGCGCTGGGTGGCATCGGAGGTTGTGACCGCGCTGGTTGAGATTGCGACCTAAGCGAACTACTTGAACCCGGTCCACCTTTCTCAGTTGTGACGGATCCTCGTTGCAAGGGCCGCCGATAGTCAGGGCCAGCTCCATTGGTCGTCGCAGGCGAGGAGGGATAGGTCCCGTAGCCCGATGCGCCTGCATGGGCGAAGAACGATGGGCCAAGAGTCATCCCGTAGAGCGAGTATAAATCTGGGCGTAGTGGGGCACTGATCGGCGGATTGTCAATTCCATCGGTCCTTGAACGGTCTGACTGTTGATTCTGAGCCGGATTCGAATTTGCTCCCATGGGCTGTTGGCCAATAGTTTGGTGCTGGCCAAATGATGCACTATACAGTTGCAACTGCCGAATGCCCTCCTGTTGATACACTAGATGCGGGTTCATGAGGTCGTGAGCAGTATACTGGTACTGATACTGAGGGTTTTGGTACCATGCCAAGTCTTGTTGCATCGTTACACTTGGCGGAAACACGTTTTGGTCGTAGGTTGGGACGCTGGACGAGGCACGTCGATTTGAACCCCCATTGTTGCCATTGCCTCTGTAGTTATGCCTGCCACCTCGGCCGCCGCGGCCACCTCTACCGCCTCCTGAATGAGATTGTGATGCGCTGCGAAGTAAAACCGGACGAGATTGGGGGGGCGGCCTTGACCAAACTCTTTCCTCCTCTTTTGGAAATACGTATTGCTCGCATGCTTCTTCAAACTTGGCAGCCGATATCAGGTCGAAAGCTCGGCGTAACTCGAGATGAAGCCCTCTGAAAGAGTATTCATCCGCCGTGTTGCCAAGATTACGAGAGGTATTGAACGGCTCTTCCACACACAGCTGATTGTTGATCGCGTAGTGCCACTTCTTATCGGTCTTGGTCACCAGAGTACCGAGACGGACCGAGAGCACATACTTCTCGTAATCGAACTCGTGGGCGTAGAAGCGAAAAAATTGGAAAAGAAGATCAGCCTCGGATGACTTGTTGGCCTTCCCAAAACCCTTTAATTTCTTCAAATTGTCGGCAAAGTCGCTCTTTGCGCCATCTGGTTTTTGGATCTTGTATGGAAGTTGGTGTAGGGCCGGAAGAATCGAGGGTGTGCGGAGTTGGAGGAACGCAACTATCAAGCAAATCCATGTATAGGAGCTCAGAGTTCCACCGAAAGCTGGTTCTACATGTCAGACAGGCGGGTAATAGATTCGACATGCGTTGGGGTATACTGACCGGCATCGTTTACGATCCTCCTTCTCGTCCAATGCTTTATGATCATGGCAAGCTGGCGCACCCTGGGATCTGTTTCTACGTAAACTCGAATCATTCGTGTATTCTCGAGCGCGAGAGTATTGTTGACATTCATGTCGCATGCCAAACCTAGCTCCGGATCCCACATTTTCACAATTGGAACCTTGGCTGCGGAGATGCAGACTACTTTTTCCATGCCACCTGAGTGCTGTTAGCCAATGCCAAATGTGTTGAGAATGACGATGGAATATACATACGCCTAGCTAATAGATCAGCAATCATGCAGACGCCTTCTAGCTCGTGCCATGACGTTGTGATACAGATGTCGACTAGGTAGTGCAGAGTGTCAGCAAAGTTGTCGCATGTTGGGGGTACACCAACGAGATCGAAAAAAAAAGCGAGCAGTACCATCAGAATCATCTGAGCAGAGCAGGTTGCCCGATGAGCCGAACAAATGTGCCCGGATATCGTGACCTGGCCATTCTTCGTTGAAAATCTTCTCCAGCTTGGCAACCAACTTCGTTCTCTTCTCCTCGACAGCCTCGCTCGGTATTAATCGATCGTAAACTTCGCGCATATCTGTGGCTACCTTGCGTTCCTCCTCCTCTGTCAACTTTCCCTTAATTTTGCCCAACGGGATCTTTTCCAGCCGCTCGTTGCCGATGGAATACGGTACTCTTCTCCTAGAGTTGATCTGCGAAGTCTCGTACTTGCAGCCCCCATGTCGAGGAGGCGGTAACGGCCGCAGGGAAGGAAGGGTGCTATTGGTCTCGGAATATGCAGACCGGGGGGAGTGGTTGTTTACATTCTCGGTCGGCGACGGCTCGCGGGACTCGAATGAGAATTGTCGAGCTCGCTGATGGGGAGTCGAAGGCACTGAGCTCGAATGCGAAGGAGCCTGTGAACGCTGTGAGGAGGAAGAGGATAGATTGCTCGGCCTGCCAGAAGAATTCTTTATCGATTCCACCGGCTGGGCCTGTGCTGATGTGTTTTTCGAGGGCATCTTGGATGGCGGGGCCTCCTTTCTGGTTACGACGGAGCGATTCTTGTCCGGACCCTGGTGTGACCGACTCCCATGGCCTCCTGCGGTGGAATTCTTAGCAGTCGAGTGGTCTTTCACCGACACCTTGCTTGATGATCGGGAGCGAGTCCCTGCTTGGGCGTGAGAGGCAGCCACGACGGGTGGAAGTGGTGGTGTCTGCAGCCCGCCCCCGCGGCTGGGAGAGACGAGTCTGTTGTAGTTAAGGAGCTGTGCGTAGTAGATGTTGGACTGCTGGGGAAACCACAGGGGGAGGAAATCGATGGGGCAAGCAAACTGGGTGACTCCAGCGGCTCCGGGTCCGTGGGAGAGAGTGTGGTGGTTTGAGGCGCCGTCCAGCGAGCCTTCAAGGGGATATGATGGTGCTTGCTGGACCGTCGTCGGTATGGCAAGATGGGAAAATTGTGAGAATCCGGCGAGCTTGGCGGAAGATGGGGAAGCAGCCTTCTCTGCTGCTGTCGTCGCCGAAGTTGCCGTATCGATAGAGGGGTGGTCGGGGGAAGCGGTAGATGATTGTGTCCAGGTCGGCGAGCTATAATAAGAATGCTGGGTTTCGGCCGTTGTCGTCCTGGCGTCCATGAAATGGAATGCACGGAAAAAGCAGACAGAATATAGTAAAACCAGCGAAACGAAGGAGATCGGAACCGGCAAGCAGTCCGGGGAGCCCACGCGTGAGCAGAGGAGAGAACAGTCTGGAAGTTCGATCTGGTGGCGAAGGGTACGACGTTTTGGTGGGAGGCGGGAAGGGCAGTGATGGATGAGTAGGGAAGTGCGTCGCCGGAAAGTAGAGCAATGGCTCAGCGCCTGGTTGGTCTCGCAAACAAGTCAACTCTCAGTCCCTCTTTTTGCCTCTCGGTTCGGTGGTTGTTGGCTGAGGCTTTGTGTGTCTGTGTCAGCTCTCGAGGATAAGCCACCAGCGAGGCACGGGATTATGTACGGCGTCGGTCGGGTCGTAGCCAATGGAGGGGGAGATGCGGGCAGAAACGACGTGAAAGAACTCGGTCAGGCCCGTGCTGCGGCGAGGCAATCAGACAGCCTCGATGTTGCAGTTCTAGGACCGAAGGTGAAGAGGGCGCAATAGTGAAGCAAGCCGTATCGGCGAGCGGAGTTAAATCAACGTGAAGTGGAGAAGAGAGCACAATGCCTCAAGCTGACTGGCCGGAGGGGAACGGACGAACGCTGGCGAATGCAATGTGCGAGAGGTGCAATGATTGAAGGACGGGGAGGCGGCAGGCTTGTCGAGTGGTTGGCGCAGCTGAGAGAGGATATGTCTGTTCCCGTCTGGCATTTAGCAGCGCGGCGACTTCGAATTAGGGTGATGAAGATGGGCGGGATGTATCGGCACCCTGCTCGTGGCAGGTCTTGTGCGTGAGCGACGGCGCTGGTGGTTGCGGTGGAGAGGAGGTTAAAGGGGGTTTCGCCTTGAGTTCGACGCGTGGGGCAGCGACAGGGAAGTACCGTTCTACCCTGACAACAGCAATGGAGCGATTTGTAGGTACCTGCCCATCTACGAGCACTGACAATCCAAGAAGAGGAGCAGTCGTCCACTTGCCATTCGACGCTGGCGGAGTCTGGCTCGCTCTGAGTAGGAGACAAAGGGATTTTTGGAGGATCTCCTAATCAGCCACAGCTGTTGATGAGCGCTGGAGGTGCTCAGTTCCCTTTGAAATTGAGTGACAAGAATGGCGCCTTGGTAGGGGTTTCACGGGCAGGTCAGATTAGATTGCTTGTAAGTGAGCGAAGCGGGAACCAAGATTGTTTTGATTAGGCAGTACCTCCAGAGTCTGCCTCTAGCTGGCTCCCTTGCAAGTACAGCGAGCGCGACTTCCATCCGATGCCTCAACTCTGACCCAGATGCTCAGAAGCGCGAGTGCTCTGTAGCGAGGTAGGTACTCTGTAACACGTGTACCTGTGGGTGGTGGGCATGTACTAAGCAGGTACCTTCCTCCCGCTGGATCAATGACTGGATAGGGGACTTTACCAGGCGGGCCCCAGTTCATGGCATCAACAAGACCGCGTTTTTAGTGGCATTGATAAATTAGCTACCCTTGTGCCTTGCGTTGAAGAATCAATCACTCCTGGCACGCCGTGGCCGGTTTCCACCACCTTCATAATACTGGCAGGAGTCCGCGGCTGTCGCACATCGCCACGGCTGGCCGCGACAGGGTTGTTCATGATTCCTCACTCCTTTCTGGTACGGAGCCACGAGGTCACCATACACGCAAATAGAATACGACGTCGCCCTCCAGATATTACTCACTCACAGTCAGCCCGAGCGCACCTACCCATCGACGCACAGCGCCCAATTGGCACCCGCTGCCTTTGGGGGTTTGGGCCTTGAATGACCGATATTTGCTGCATACCTACACGCTCTTGCCTTCCCCCTCAGATCGGCCTGCCTTATGCACCTGACTAAAACGTCAGCTGGCTCTATCATCAAACATGAGGGGCAGGACCGCAAAAGCATGGCCTACCTACCAAATGTGGACTCAGTCTATCAATCCTGCTCAATAGTACGACGACTAAACGCCTAATGGCGTCTTTGCTTGATAGCTGATCAACTCCAATGGAACCTAACTAAACTGGAATTGCCAAGGCCATTCATGATCACCAACCAATCTGGAAACCGATCAGGATGCTAACAAAGTGTTGGTAAGCGATACAGGGCTTGGCTCTGGCACGACAAGACAGGTCAGGTGTCCAGAGCCGGACTGATGCGAGAGAAGAGGTAAGTATTTGGGACATCAGTGCGGCGCGCGGTGAGAGGATGCCCACCAATGGCTGCGGCTTACCACCACTTGGCTTCTTGAGGGGGAAGTGTGTTCAGATCACAACACGGTTCGGGCTTGCGGCTGACTGGGGCATGGAGAAGTTGGTGAACCATAAATTTGGCATGGCTCATTATGACTACATGGATGCCGCTACTAACCTTAGCTCGTAGGAGGCCCAGCCATCTGGCAGCTTGCCGACAAGAGAACTAACTTGCCGTGGAATAAGATATAACCCATGAATTATACGACAGTGGTAAATGCATGTTGATCTGTCAACGGCTCACCCATCAATCAATAGTGACGAACCCAGCCGGTATTAATGCCTCGAGCCGCAATTTCTCCCGTGTTTCCAGCCCCGTGAAGTAATTTGCGAAAGACGCACAACACACACTTCCTCCCACTAATTGCCCCATGTCCATCATTTCCTGTGAGCTACAGCTCATTGGGTAGACCTCGTTAAGAGAGGAATCATCAACCATCAGGGTGCTCTGAGCTCAATGGGCCACAACGCCTTGTTGTATTCTTACCACCATGGCGTGTTTACATGAGCACACTGCATGACTGAGTACATGGTCTTGCCTGAGACTTCAAGACCCGTGAGCGAGCCTGGAGGATACTGGCAAGGGCGCAAAGCGTTCAAATTGGCCGAGGCAACGAATACAGCTCCGGAAGAAAGATGAACTATTTTATTACTCAATTGATTGATAGACTAGACTGCCAAGATACCAATCACGTTGTCCCGAGAGCTAGGCATAGACAGCATGGATTCCGTCGCAACTTACATTCCGCTTTTTTGTTTTTGGATCCCCGGAACGGTGCATCTCCGCACGTCATTTCGGCGCTCTGGTGAAAGCACAGAGCCTTTCCCGGGTGTGTCAACGCGATGCAACGCGACACACATTATATGCGGATTCCCTACCCCGTCCAGAGCTTCCGTCTCACCGGTCAACTGAAGCGACGTAATTGACGAATCGCAGCTACTTTGCCAAGCGGAGCAGTTAATTTGGCCTAGCCAATATCCAAATGCCTTCTGCCGTCCACCTTCCCGAAGGCCGAAGGGCAGGATGGACGCCAGGGCCAAAGGAGGAGTGGATACAAAACCACCTCCCTACTCAAGCACAGATCCTCCCAACGCTCGAGCACACGAAGGTGGGATGCTATGGATATTTTCCGATGTTCGCTCGGGGTAGCCTTGCCGTAATATAAAAGGGGTGCCCTATGCCGGTTCTCTCGGACCCGTGTTGAAGAGTGACAATTCACTATGCATTGATTCGCATTACGATGTGGTGGTTGACTGGCAATTGGCATTGGAAATTAGACGTACGTGGTGCTTGCATTTAATCCAATTTCTAAGCGCAGTCATGCTCGCTTCGCGCCATTGAGTTCAGCGGCTCTGTGGCATTGAGTTTTGCGACCATCTTTCTCCACGTAGACGACTTTATAGCCCCCATTCTATCTCTGGAGGCCAGACGCTGCGCATCCGCCACGCCCAAAGAACCAAGGATGACCCAATCCGTTCACCATTCCCAGGCAAAGTGCATGGCTGGCTGCTATTCTGAGACCCTGAAGAAGGCGCATCTGCTTTTGGCCAACCAGACAAAGCACAGAAACCTCGACGTCGATAAGAGTGGAGGAAAGGCTTCTTAGCAGGCGGCACAGCAGGCTACGTGATGGGGTCAGACCTAAATATATAACAGCCCTAGTTATCGATGCGATTGATAGAGCACGCAAGCTGGCTGACGACATCCCGGGCTGTTTTACCCCGGATGGGCAGCCTTCTTCTCTTGTTCTAGAAGTTTTGTCGCGAGCACGCCATCCCCGAAGCACAGGAGAAGCCACCCGCCACTATAAAAGACTGGATTGGGGAATTCAGCTAGATGAAGAGTTCCCTGGGGAGCTATCTAGCTGTGCCTACCTACCGCAAGTGTCTCGTGCCACCTGGAACTCATCTGATCTCCCCCACACACAGGTTCCGGGTACCTGCGCAGGTGATCACCAGCTTGCTACTACTTTGGCTGCCGCCGTCACGCCAGATGTTGTCTTACCTACTACTATCAATCGATATGCTGGAGGCGGGTAGGAGCAGTACGGGGCACACTCTGACGTTGTGCGTGGACATCAAGGTTCATCTGCACGCACTCTCACTGGTCACACGAGTTGTACGAATATAGACAGCTCTATTCGATGTTATAAACATAGCAGCCCGAAACTCTTTCCAACTCCGGTTCTAGTATAGCCACTCCATGTAACGGCAATACAAAAATATTTACCACAATCACGGTATACGTGGTTCAATCGAGGCAAAGGCAGCGATCAAGTACCCCGTCCTTATTTGCAACCTCAGCCCGGCAGGTTCAAGGCAGGTTACTCCTGAATGTACAATCCCTTCCGGCCGCTCAACTTCTCCGCTTTACTTCTGTATCCCTCGTTCCTCCTCACGGCCAGGAACGTCAAGCTCCACAGCTGGCTGATGTTGCTCTCTGTTGAACTCAGCTCACCCAGCGGGATCGAGTCGAACCGCCCGTCAGCGTACTTCCATGTCCATAGCTCATTGCTCAACACCGCAGTGTTCTCTTCAATCACGTCCCACAGCCTGTTGTATGCATTGACCACTTTGATGTGCACGGCGCTGTCTTGGCAGAACTCTGGCGGCGAGCTGGCCTCGCATCGACCAAGCTGGTGCTCGAGACCCTTGGCCATCATCGACAGCTGCCATCCCCACACCACAGTCCCGTGATAATCGGCTCTGCCGAACCCTGCTGTGGAGATGGTATACGCGGGGTTTGAGACCAAAAGGCCGGCGTCCGT